ATTCCTTATTCAGGGTCATATTTGGACATTTTGACACCCGTGCCAACATATAATGCCACCCGTTAAAAAAAGTTATTTCTTAAAATTTAATGTATGAAATTACAATTGTTGTGGAATAAATGCAGTTTAGATCCTAARCGATTTTTACAATTTTTTCCGAAATCTATGTATTTCAATTAGTTATAGTACGATTAAAATTTGTAGATAGGACTTAGTTTTAAAGTTATAACCTTTTTAAGTCCTCAAGTATGCATATTAGAAGAATACACTTACACTCATATTATATATAACTTTAATTACTCARCTGTWTCTATGTTAAAAATGCATGTATAATTTTAATCCCTTGTTAAAAATTATTACTTTTAATAGCACYATGTGTGCTGAAACCTTTTAAGATTATATTAAAGAAAAAAAAGTATGCATATTCCTTCCCGCGCGTTTTTTCATCTAACAAYATTATTAACAATACAATAAAAAGTAAATACTATGGATAATTTCTGATTTTATCAAAATTTAATGATTTAAAGGAAAAAAAATCAAATTAACAAAAAAAATCACAAAAATCGCTTAGTAGTTAAACTGTATTCGTTCCAATATTATATATTTTCAACTATTAGTTAGGTATCTCTTAAATTTCTAGGCAAATCAATGTTAAATAATCAATATTTAAATTAGAATTTTCATTAAAAAAATTGTATTGTACATATTATATTGAAAGAACCGAGTAGTTATGATATACTTAAACACTATATAATATTAAAAAAACCAAATATAATCTGTAAATAATATTTTTATTATTATTATTGCATATTTACTGATSTTAATTTTATTATTAATAATAACAATAATTTAGTAATCTAATAATAAATTCATTTATAATTTTATCTTAGACAGAAAATTTGAAAATTAAGTTATGATTTCTTAAAACTCTGCTTTACTTGCTTGTAATTTCTGGTTTAATTTTCAACTATGCCAATGCAAGACACTTTTTTTGGTGCAAAATTAACATATTCTTAAAAATTATCAATATTATTTTTCGACTAGTTGATGAAAACTATAAACATTTTAGAGTTTTTATTCCTAATTATTACTTTTAACAAAAGGTTATGATAATTTAAATATGTGATATACATGTATAAATATTTGATACAATTATTATGCAATAATAATATATTAATATAAATTTACCACCCCCTAAATGTTTGTCATTGCGTTTTTATCAAAAAATATTTACTTTAATCAACCTAATAACTGCTATACCGAGACTATTGGAAGATACTTTCTGATAGAGAATTTGATCCAAATACAAATGTAAGGAAAAAAACTGAAATGTGTGTGTACGCAATCTTGGTTTTTGACAAAATCGATTTTGTGTTTCGCTGTAATTCAGAAAAGAATAGCCGCAAATCCTTGACATTTTCTCCAAGTACCTATTGATACCATCATATTTTTTTAGATAAGATTATTTTCAAAATATATTTCGTCATCGCTGTAGGAACTTGTTATATTGATTCAATACATTAGACATACCTTAATTCCATCAGGGGCGTCATTTCACTTTTTTTATTGTTGCCTGTTGGTACCAACATTTTTGCAGGCCATTTCAAATCATTACCAAGTGACAAAACTTTTTTTTTGAAGAGGCTCAAGTAGGGAGAACATTTTTAGAATATTTGAATATTTGTATAGTTTATTCAATATAATGTCACATATATTTTATGTTGAAAATAACACAATTATTACAGTTTTAATCCAACTATTTGTACTTTTAACGTATTTATATTTTTACTTATTTTGTGGTTAACAGTGGTATTTATGCTTGGTAAATAAGTTTATAGGTACCTCAATGGTAAAATACCTAATCAAACCTAACCTATGCATTTTACAGCACTAAAAATATATAGTTAATAAAAGCTAGCTTAGT